GCCGAATCTTGGTTTGAAATGGCTTCCCATCGTTTTTCTAGAAGGTCCCATGTATCTTTCGAAATGTAATCCTTTTTCTGCTCTGGATGACATCTTGGGAGCGTGGCTTGCGAACTTTCAAGAAGAATTGAGTTCAGCAAATCAAAACTGTCAGTATTATCACATGATTGAAGATCATCAGCTTTTTGTGCCACACAAGCATTATAATTGGCTATTTCATCTCCCGAAGGTTTATGAAATTTAATCCGTGAAGTAGTTTTGACACGGCCTTTCTTCTTCAGTTTTAGACGGACGTTGGCAATCAACATCTTATGATCCGTGTCAATGTCATGCACCTCTGTGGCGAAAATATCTGCGATACCATTTTTCCATGGTTCATTAACGAGAATATAATCCATTTGGCTATATTGATGTGGATGCCATGGAGGGCTCCAGTCCTTAACCCCTACACTTCTGTATGTCACAAGTTCAGCTTCGGGTTTGCAGAAGAATGTGTTTTTCACCACAAATTGGTTTTCCAGACAAAACTCTACAAATTTGAAACGGTTTTCCAGCTGGGCATCACTAAGAAAATCAAGATCCTGTCGCTCGATCCCAAAAGTGTAAGGTCCTACGCAAGTCTCGTGTGGAAGGGCTTTAATCAATCTTGCATTGAAATCTCCAAGAACTAATTTAGGAGCGAAGGCATAGTTTATTGACACAAGTGATTCTAATTCAGCGTAATGCGCTTCTGCTGCTTGTGAGTCTCGGTGGCACGCCTGAGGCGCATAAGTAGATAAGATGTCCAGGACACCACATCTAGTTTTCAATGATACCATGATATTTCTAGCACTGTGCTGTCGAACATCTAAAACATATTTTCTGATACGTGGATGTAGAACAACGCCAACCCCAAGATGTTCAATAGCATTTCTGAAGGTTTGTCCATGTTCGGGGTTGTCACTTGACCCCTTACCCGAGCGTTTGAGATCTATCGCTTTGTTGCGGTCTTCGTCATTGATTCCGCTAGACCAATAAAAACTAAAACCATCATGCAGTTCCATGGAGTTAACATTAATTTTTGTTTCTTGCAGGCAAAGAATGTCTAAATGGTATTTCTTCATGGTGTGGACAAGTCTTTCCCGACTAGAAGGTGATGCAAGACCTCTACAATTAAGACTTGCAATCTTGTAATCGGTGATCCCATGATCCTTAAAACTATTGTCCTGATAGTCAGAAAATCCTAATGAAAACTCTTCATGTGTAATAGTATGTGTGTGGGAATCAAAAGGTTTCGGTTTGAACCAATCAAGAAACTCAAGATTGTCCGTTGGATCTTGGGCCTTGAACAGCGGCACCTGCCTGGCCAAAGCAAGGGCCTGTGTCTTTAAATGACGATAGGATCTCCTATGCATGTTTCTGTTTCTAGCTCTGTTAACTCGACGTCTAAGTAAAGCAGTATTAGAACGGCATTTCCGTTTGGGGCCCATCTTCGTAGAATCAGTTGATTGCAGTTTTGGGTTCGACAGTTGGTTACCGCCGTCTGTTCGTTTAGAACGTTCAGTGCGGCTTTCCCACATTGCCATGGGGGGGCCTGTGTGCGCTGCATTTGATTGGAAATTCGCCTCTAGAGGTTGTGACAAAGCTTGATTATGGAGCGATAAGTTGTTGTATGTTAGTTTGGCAATTCTGTGTTTGTTTTGTGTCTGGCTGCCTTTCTTCTGTTGCAAAGATTGAGAGTACCAAGAGATTACCTCGAGAGACCCGTAGGTCTTGTGGCCGTAGCCACTGTCACGTCTGAACCTTAAGTTGCTGGCATTGACCTTTTGTGATGTGGTTTCTTTCTGTGCGATACTTTGTGTGCCCGGCATTACCGTATGTTGTGGGTGGGTGTCGGGAAAAAGCCTACGGCTAAGACACGGCGGGGTGAGACTTCACAGCTCCCGGTCAGAAGGTCTTGCTGCCATGTAGGGGCGGGTGGCATCTGCAACGGCTTCTTGCCAGAGTTCCCTCCAAACCTCCCAGTGCGAAGCGGTGTCATCTACGATGCGCACGTCGATCATGAAGGGGTACCTTGCCGTACTCGAGTGGGATGTGTGCGTCAAAGGTAAGTGGAAAGGGTCCTTCTCGGTGCTGGTGGCGCTCTGTGCCATCGATTTTCCTTTGCCATTTCCTTTGCCTTTGCCATTCATGTACTCATCAAACTTTGGGAGAAAGAACCTCTGGAACGCATCAGGGTCGGGGATATTCTTTGTGGAGAGGTACACTGTGACTTTGCCCTTTTCCGGTGAGAAGTGCGCCCATAGGATGTATTCTGCGGAGTCCTTGTGTACCAAAGTGTGATCTCTCCAATTCTGCTTGAAGGGGATTTGCTGTTCCTGGGCGATGTTCATAGCTACCTTGAGTGGGATTCCCGTAGTACGGTCCCATAGTGAGATCTGCGGTTGAATCTTGATTGTGTTGCCTGCGTTTTGCTGCCCGTTGCCGAAGGCTTTGGTGAGCTTTTCCCATTGCGTTTCTTCCTCATCTTTGAGGTAGAACTTCTCTTTCAGGCCGTCGCTCTTCTTCACGTAGTCTAGTAACTTGGATCTTTGCCATGGTTGTGTGACTGTGACAATTGTGATTGCGGAGAGCGTGTCTCCTCTGGTTTGATGGCTGTAAGTCCAGTCACGGTAGTAGTTGCTGGTGATTCCTGCCCTCTTTGCTGTTTCTTTGATGTATCTCTCCCTTGAGTCTGTCTGATTTTCCATGAGGAGCCCTTGTAGTTCAAGATCGGCATGAGAAGGGGGTGTGAATGTTGTCCATCCTCCAAAGATTATTTCTTTCTTTGCTTTATCTCTCTGTGCATCTGCATGTTGCGCTAGCAGGAAGGCTGCCTGCACTTTGGTCGCTGATGCCTGTTCTTGGATTTCCCGGATAGTTCGCAATAGGATCTCTTCATCCATCATCGATTCATCTTCATGTTCTTTCTTTTCTTTCTCGAATTTCAATTTTCTCGAAGCTGGTTCCGGGGTGTCTCCTGTTGCCTGATGCTTTGCCTTTGACGCCATTGCTGTGGTGCGGCGAAAATATATCTGTGCTAGCCGCTACGCAGCGTTGAACCCGAAATGCTTACGTCTAAGCCTAAGCCCGTCTATCTTTTCTTGTCGATCAAAGCCAGTAGGTATAAATGTGTACATACATACATACATACATACATACATACATACATACATACATACATACATACATACATACATACATACATACATACATACATACATACATACATACGCAGTATGCACCCACCACAAAAATACGCATGCAAATACATGCTCACATATAAAAGAAATATATACATATACACACAGCCTGAGTAAATGTGAATGTGGGCCGAAGCACTTCAAATTGCAACATGCACACAAATCACACCAATGTGTTGGAAATTGCCGGGTCATGCTAACCAAGAGAAAGCACGTTGACAAAAACACAGAAAGTGTTTCAAACACATGTGTAAAGATGTCAATAAGTAATGGGGAAGGCACGCATAAGCCTGTGGCATCCTGTGGCTGTGAAAGGCTAAAAGGTGCAGTGTGGAACAAAGTGGTGGTATGCCATGGCAACAGTACATACACAATTAATTATGCGCTTGATCACAACTGAAACATTCATTGAAAATTCATATCGAAATCTTGACAAACAGCTCTCCCAGAGATGTCCTGGTACTTGATGCAAAAACGGTGGTGCTGGAAGTGCCAGGATAAACCGTTGACTTGGTGGTTGATGTACTCATTGATGTGGCTGTCAAAGTAGTCCAAGAGCTTGTCAATGTCTTGCTCCCTGTGCTTGAACTTAGCGTAGATGTCGCTGATGCAGTGCTTGATGTGCTGATAGTCCTTCCAGTCAGGGATTGGCGTGTTGCCTTGGGCCATCTTCATGACTCATGTAGTTGCAAATAGTCGACTTGAAACAGCAAAATTGTACCGTATGGTGCCCAAATCGTGAGAGGTATCTTCCAAACTGTTGATATTGAGCATACAGTCGTCATGCAATATATGTGTGGTGACAAACTGCTAGTATCTTTCAAACTATCCTTGTCAAAATAGCGGCTTTTTTTTTGTGTGTGGAAATGTGTGGAACAAGGAAAAAAGGATACCAGCAAACACCAGACGTTCAATGCAACAATGTTGATTTTGAGTTGGTTAAGAGAAGTTCAAAAGAGAAACGCCTGAGATAAACCAATAAAAGTCCTTGCCTTGACACATTATGAGCTCAGTGTTGCAATAGACTAGCGCATTTATTGCTCACGTGCTGCTCAATCTATTCTATTCTTCTTGTTAGCACATGGAGCTCCACCTTAGTTTCCTGATGTTATCCCCAGTTTCACTTACTGTGCTCAGCTCACGGGTTGGTTTCCATCAAAATACTTCTATAATCTTCCATAGTCTTTCGGTGGCATCCTTGTACTGCATCAGTCAGCAGGCTTCTGCCGGGACAACAAATGTGCGCAATGTTTTCGTATTGCTCTGCAGCCTGTGGTACTCGCTGCTCAAACTTTCAGCAGACAAGTTTTCATGTCTCGTGTGCATGCAAAGCTAGATTCCCGCTGGCTTAACGCATATGCTTCCCTCCGGTGGGTTTTTCTCCTGTGTTACCATTGAAACACTACAGTGGCAAGGCTGTACTTCCATTGCAACAATGTGCAAATACTATCAGCTACTACCAGTGTACTTACAATGGTGCACATGGCCTGTGCATGCTTGCCTAGTTTTGCGCGTCCAAGTGAATTTTCATACGGACTGCTTGCATGCTACTGTTCAATCATGTCAGCTGTTGGAAATCATGGTGCTTTGCATTCTGTAGCGCAGCAATATATGCGGTGCACTGCTGCGCGTTCCTGCATGGCGTCATGCTGTATCATGCTGTCTCCATCATTCACAATCGATGTTGCGCTCGATTAACCCATGAGGCAAGGGCTCACTCACTCCATCATTTACTCAAATCATGCGTGCGCTCAACTCCCGCGCAGGCGCGTGCTCAACTCAAACATCTTCGCTGTCTTCCTTCCCTAGGATTTTCTCAACCCGCTGTGCAGCAAATTCAGCCCCCCCAGCGGGCCATGTCGATGTTCTGGCATCCATCGTTGCGGGTAGCAAGTGAAACCTAAGCACAGAACCAACACCTCTGCAAATTTTCTGTAAATGTCGCTTTCGCACCATGATCAGAACACTGTGCTTCATCAAACAGGTTGAATTTGCCAGTATCATCGCTGCCCTGGCCAGACCCAAGCCAAGACACTTTTGCAAGACGTATCAACATGCTGTTACATGCTTGCTTTGCATTCCTTTGACATGTTCTGTCTGCGCTGTTACTGCTCTTTGTTCCTCTAGCCGCTGGCCAGAGGTACAGGAACCCCCTCCTTGACCCCTCACCCACTTGAATCCGGTCGAGTTGCTCTGACGTGCTCATGCACTTGCCTCCGAATGGACTCTAGTGGGTGAGGGACAGTGAAAACAACATGAAGAAAAAGAGGCGTCGACCCAAGATCTGCAAGCATGGGCTCACCGACGCTGAGATCTGGTTGTGCAGATAGACTGGCTGATCATCCAACGAAAAGGTAATCAGAGGGGAAAACAGCTTGATGGGAAAAACGGATATATAAGCGTTGCAGTCATATTTGCGGTTTTGAAGCCCCAAGGTAGAAACTCCAATTCTGTCAAAATACCTCTGCAACTGCGCCGCCTTCTCAAGAAACTGCATTGTTTTGACAAACACCTTTTGGCCCCACCTGCTTCAAAGATTGCTCTGAAGGTGCAATTCTCATCGGCATTGCAGGCATCACCATCTTGAATGTAGAGGCTGCACTCCTTCAATCTGTTTAATGTATGTATAAGATGTCAAGCGCGCACAGCCAGTGAAACCAAAGTAACGCCACGCCATGTTTTCACATACGCGCGCTTAATCTGTGCCCTTTGGTCGTACCATCAAACATCCTTGCCTCTGATATGGCCGCCCAACACTAACGAGGGAGCCTTTGCATGACTGTTGCGATTAGATACCCATCCCAAACCCGAAGCACTTGGTCAATAAAATTGCAGATCAATCGCTGACAACCCTAATTTTAAACCTGGCGTGCAAACATGCTGCTCTTGCTGTCCTTTCGTGCAAACAATTGAGAATCATTGAGTGTTGGTGCAAGCGACATAGTGTGGTGCAAGGCCCTGTCTCCTTGATACTCTGCTTCCTTTTCAAAGCATCGCTCTCGGTGTAGATGCTACCTTACTAGGGGCGCAACGCAAGCAAACTGACAAGTAAAGCGAATTCCGGTCTGATCGGACCCCCCTGCCATTCAACAGGCCCTGCAGCTCTACAGGTGTACACGCGCACGCGCTCGTACCTGGACACACACACACACACACACTAGACAAGAACTGGATCATTGTAGTGATCCGTCAGGAACTGAATCCCAAAACATGCAATGAAACAAGATTCTTTAACGCCAGGTGGACCTCAGAGGAATAGTATATTATAACCAGGATGGAAAGCCAATCATCTCGACAAAGACAATGTTAAGGTTCCAAGAAAATAGAATAATCAATGCCAAGTCCATGTAAAACCAACATCTCCACACGGACCATGTCAACGTTCAGGGTTCTCGGCTTAGCCCTCTGCCATGACGATGAAATATGATAAATAAATATAAGGTAAATACCAGATTGCGGCAGTCGTGCGAAACGCAAAAAATGTATCATAGCGGGGTTTTTGGCTTGGCCCCATGCCATTGCAGTGAAAATTAGTGCAGGCACGCCAGACTGATCAGGTCTGGTATCAGCACCGATTGCAAGTGTCTTCGTTGGCAGAGGACTTGCAGTGGTGCTACTGCCCCCTGCTTGATTTAGCGAAATTACAAACAGAAGTTTTACGATGTTTCGCACAACACATACACACCGTGCCGCAGCAGGGTTTCTCTTTTACCCACGTATGACATTGCCTTAGAAGCACCAGAATCAGAAGGGCGCCAAGATGCCAAAGTCTGAAGTGCCTGAGCGAGAGCCTGCAGCTGGTCTGTAGAGATGCCACGGGTGATCGTGGAAGCAGGAGCGGAGGTAGTACTCTGATTAAGCAATTGAGGTGCCAATGCGGGAACCGTCGAGGCCGGGGAAGCGGTCGTCACAGGAAGTTGATTGTCCGTAGAGTCAGCAGAAGGAGATCCTCCATCTTGGAGTGGAAAGTCAAAAAATTGACGCCAGTAATCAGAAAGTCGAAGAGACATCGGATGATGTCCAGTAAGCCGGAAAAGGCAATGCTCAGGTCCTCGAAGGCGGCTGAATCCGTTGTTGTTGACCTCATTGACCCAAAGTTCCCTGCGTTCTCCATTGTATGTGTAGATCTTGAAGGTGATTGTGAACCGTTTGCTCCGTGAAATATTGTCCTCGTTGGTAAGGATCCATATGATTGAATGGTGCCGTAATACTTTCAGTGGTAAAAGGAAGAGTTGTCATTTCGGCCGCATGAAGAGCATAGCTCGGGGGAGATGTAGTTGGGGATGTTCCGGATGCAGGGTCCATAGGTGCATCAGTCTCTGCGCTTGCGGCGGCAGATCGGTTGGAGGAGGCTGGCCAAGAAAGGTCCGCCATGGCGGAGTCGCGTTAGACACCGGACATGATTTGGAGATATAAAGTGGAACTTCAAAAACACCCCCGGAAACCGATCATGAAAAAGATGATATCCTGCAGAAACATCGGGCAACAGGTTTGAATATTACAAGGTCATCGGGAAACTTGGGACTCGAGTCAAATGAAAGTATCACACAGGGAAACCAAAAAATACATCCGCAAGGCTTACAGAACGGCATCCGTGAAACATATTTTTCCCGCGGAAGAGCACCTGTTGCGACGACTAGGAAGAATGACGCCAGGTTGACGTGCATGGCACGAGAGACGTAGCATGAAAGGATGACGGAAGTCAGCAGGAAGAATTGTATATAGTACACATAAAGTCCGACTGCTTCGTGCGCCACTCCGGCCGGTGGTCTCCAAGAGGTCCATGACAGACTGGTAGGGTTGACCTGGAACGTATCTCCACCCAAGTCTTGATCCCCAAGTAGGGGCGCAGTGCTGTGCATATGCAGTCCGGGGTTTCAGAGTCTGCCCAGCGGGTAGCCATCTCCTTATGGTTGCAGAGGCTATCCATGACCGATGGGTACTTGGTGAAAACAATGTTGGTCGAAGGTGGTTGGAGTGAAGTGTAGGATCTTCTTCAGGTTTTGTCACCAGCTGGGGGTTAAGAGCCATGGAGCTCGAAGAGGTACTGGTCGAAGAACTCGTTTGCCTTCTAGAATTTGATGGCCCGGTCGATGGCATTCAATGCGTAGGATCTCTGTGGCTCTCCATGCAAGATTGTTGGCAAGGCGGCGGAGAAAGTAGCATCCCTGAAGGCCAATGGCATTGGAGCGCATCCGCTTCTCCATGTGAAACCGTTGAAGAGAGTTTGAGCTCAAGTCCTGGATGATCTCCCAGGGGTCGACTCGGTTGTGAAAGGCGCGGCTATAGAGAGCCTGTCGAATGCGACCTTGTGTAGAAGCCCAGCGTAGTTTTCGCCACAGCGAAAAGGTGCCAAATTGCCATGAAGTCGAAAACGGAGTTCTGTTGATGATGCCTTTCTGGCAGTTGAAAAATTGGTAAGTGAACGGAGTATTGAGACAGGGTTGCCGCAACTGAATTAAGGCTTGTTCCAAAGCCCAAAAGTTGGATTTGCCGGTGTACAGCGGGACGATGGACCACATCCAAAAATTGTCAAATCGGTTCCAAGAGCGTAAGGCGACTTCGGCCAAAACGAATTTGTTCTGTTGCACTTGCAGGAATTTTCTGTAGCGGGAATGTTCCCGATCCAGCACAAAAGGTGAGGTTGACCCAAATGTAGCATTTAGGTTGGGAACTCTGAATATGGGAAAATCGGGCGTAAGCAGCTTGATCATCACGAAAACACGAAGGAAGAGAGAACCGGTCGGTCCACGAAACACGCAGAAATAATCGATGAAAGAACGTTCCTCCGAGAAGGGCCCCAAGTTTGGAATTGCCACATGCCGCTAGGATGAAGAAGAACATACTGACCCATAAGTATACTTTGAATCATGCGGCAGCCATAAAAAATTGAATGCTCGGAGAGAGTGTAAACGGAGTCAGCAGAGCTAAGCTGAGAATACACGAATGCGCAACGCTGAGATCCTTCAAAAGTTGTTTGGCGGTTGAGCCTTGGGATCTCAAAAATGAAGCTAGTCACGAGCTCACTGTCAGCGCCACCGTCATGACCTTGATGACCAGCTCGTCCGTGGTGGAGTTCTTCAGCTTGTGAGGTTCCAGGCCCATCGCTACGCTCACTCGTTGGATCGTCTTTGAGGCAGTATCCGGTTGGTTCTGCCACAATGGCATGACCTTCTGAAGATTCTTTTCTAAGGTGTCCGCTTTGGGTTGAGGGAGTTTGAGTTCTTTGAGCCATTTCTTGCAATTGGTGTCCGTCAGGGAAGTAGGTTGGTTTTGTTCGAGCCATGGATTGACCGTGACAGGGGTGACGAGGAGAGACGACGAGCCAAACGTAGATGTGGAGGGAGAGCGTCCGTGTAGTGCTTGCTGAATAGGAGGCATCCCTGCTGCATCTGAAGTGCCAGGTGGATCTGCAGGAGAAGAAGTATCCCCTTGGGTGGCCTTGACCTCGGCGAGTTCTGTCTCCAATTCCAGGATTCTCTGTTGGCTGGCATGGTCCGTTGCCGTTGTGGAGGGAAGCCAAGATTGAATCTGCTGGGCAATGTCTTTTGCCATCTGCTTAGTGGCTTCCTTCTGCTGGAGGTTGGTCCCTTGGTTGCGAGATCAGTAGGCTGCGGAGGCGGTCGAGGTCAATATTGCGGGACGAAGCTGGCTGACGAGTTCAGCCACAAAGACCGCGGTCCCAATGTTGCCAAGCGGGATGACATAGGCTTCACGACCATGGGCAATTCTTCGTAGCCACTTGTTGTGTAAGCCCTGGTGCAAGAACCTGGAGCGGATCCATGCCCTCGATGTCTTTGTACTGGGTGAACTTTGCCAGTGTTGAGAAATTCAGGATCCGGTTTCCAAGTGTCGACCGGTGGGATTTCACCGGGGCGGATAATGTATCCGCGGCCCGCTGGCGAGGTCGTCTGAGTTGATGGAGAGATTCCCGAAGGTGATCCCGGCGTGGTGGTGTAGTGCTGATGCGGTGTGGCGGGACACCCTGGAGGTGGAGTCGGTGACGGTGGAGGATGTTGTGGTGGTTGAGGTGGAAAAGGTGTAGCGCGTCGGAAACATTGGAGGATGTTGACCAACAACTTGAGTTTGGAGACCACCATGACGAGGATGCTGTGGCCATGTCGGCGGTGTACTCCACATAGGTCGTGACATAGTCGTTGCTTGATGAATGGGCCTGGAAACATCGTCAGCGAGGGAGCTGGCCAGCTGCAAGAATCACGTCTTGGGGTTCGAGAGAGGGAGCGGTTGGGCTGAGATGGGGGAATCGCATGGGAGAACTGCCGGATCTGGTCCTGAGACGCCATGATGTAGATGATCAGCGCGGGTTCGACTGAAAACAAGCTCACGGAGAGAGAGTAAATGTCATGGCGACCAAGGTCTTCAGCAGCATAGGGGTACTTGGCTTAGCCCCAGCCCCAGCCATTCCAGGTTCACGCAGAGAAATCTTTTTTCAAAAAACCAAACCGGTAATATAATATAGAAAGATCGGAATAAAAGATCTTGGGGTTCTTGGCTTAGCCCCTCGCCATGCAACGGAGATGCAGCAACGAAATGGATGTTTTCACGGAAGATGCTCGAAGCAGTGGCGTCACCATGCGGGAGAAGCATTGTTCCTCCAAAACAGGTGCGCAAAGATCGAATAGGTGTACATGTAGATTCAGATATGAAGATCAACGCCGACCGCGAGGCTTGTCATCTGCTTTGCCATGTGACGAGTGCTTGGAGGAAGGCTTCACGGATGAGATCGCTGATGTTAAACTTGATGAGTTCCAGCCACGAAAGCAAGAGGAGTTTGTGGCTACGGCGCCATCCTTGCCTTTTGCGCTTCCTCCCAAGCGGCAACCCCGCCGCAGCTGATCATTGCCCCCTGCCATGTGCTTGTTGAGCTTTGGCGTGCGACAGGTTGCTATCAAACCTGCCGGAAGCTGGCCCTTGCCGATCTTGTAAAGTACAGCTGTGCAGTTGTTTAACTGTCCAGTCGGTCTGGTTAGTCGAGGTACCAAGTTCTGCACAGT